AGGAGGATGTATCCATTAATGTTTATTGAATGCCTACATTGTATCAGTAACTGTCCTGGTACCTGAACAGCCAAAGCTCATGAGGCAGAGTCTTTTCCTCAAGTTGCTTGTGATCTGTTGTCTTATTGTTACACGGTAACTTTTTAAATAATAGACTAATAAAGCTGTTTAATTACAGTGGAGGATGGGAAGTAGTGTCCTATATATATTCTTCATTTATCTTTCTCTCACACAACCTTTCTAAGCCAACTGGAATCCTGGGGGCTTTATCTTCAAAATGTATCCAAAACCCCGTGAAAGGTAAATCAATAAAAATTTCAGGAAAACAAAACAAAACAAAACAAAACTAAGGGAATATCTTCATGACCTTGGAATAGGCAAATAGGTAATGAGTTCTTGAACAGGACACAACAGTGCTAACTATAAATAAAAAAATGATAAATCAGACTAAATAAAAATTAAAATTCTGTTCATCAAACCACATTATTAAGAGAATAAAAAGGCAAGCCATTGAGGACAGTTTTACAATTCATATAGAAAAATCATATAAAAATAAATCCAGAACAAAAAACTTCTACATAACAATAAGAAAAAAGTGGACAATCCAAAAGAAAAATCGACAAAGACAAGTAGTCACAAAAGTATATCCCAATGACTAATAAACATGGAGAAGTTTCCAAACATTAGTCATCATAAAATGCAATTAAAACCACAATGCAATTAAAAAGGTAGATTGCAGCAAATGTTGACAAAGATGTGGAGCAATTTTCATACACCCCTAGTATGAGTACAAATCAGTAGAATCACTTTAGAAAAAACATTCGACAGTATCTACTGAAGTGAACCCCATATTCCAAGAATTGCAATACTGGATGTATACCAGGTTTATACCCAAGAGAATCCCATACATCACATATATGTACATTACATTTGTAATTGCCAAAACCTGCAAACAATCCAAATGTCCATCAACAGTAGAATGGATAAATAAATTGTAGTATATACATTTTAAGCAATACTACCACACAATGAAAATTAACTACATGTAACAACATTTATATCACAAGCACAAAATTGAGTAAAAGAAGCCAGACACAAAGAGTATATACTATATCATTCTATTTATGTGAAGTTCAAAGACAAATAAATTAATCTATGGTGTTAGAATTTAGGATTACTCTTGGCAGGGAGGCAGGGAGTGCCATGAAAAAGGGGGAGAAGGTAGCTTCTGGGGTTCTGGTACTGTTCTGTTTGTCAATCCAGGTGTTATTGAAGCAGGTGGCATCCAATCTGCAAAATAGAGAAGAGCTCCACCAGGCATGGCAGAACAGTCGGTTTTTGTAAGGCTGCTTGAGCAGGAACAAGGAAACAGCATAGTGCAAAAAGCAGATTGTTTAACATCATGTTACTTCAGGTTACTTTCTCTGTACAGGTTAAAGCAGAGGGAACTTCCTTATCATGCTGGCTCAGGTTGATTAGTTTGTAAATCTCCAATTTGAAAAAACAAAAAACAAAAATAACCCCGCCTGTTTGAAGGTTGGCTAACATCTCTCTTCAAGTTTCTCAGAAGATCAGATCTTACAAATTAATAGTTTAGATTTCAGTTTAGTGATTTGAAAACTTAGCATGAGTGACTCCATTTTGGATTGGTCTTTTGGGGCCTAGTGCAGGAGCTCAGTCCAAATCAATGGCCTCCCATAACTTTTATGTAACAATATGCACACATATATACACATACACACAGTGACTCCATTTTGGATTGGTCTTTTGGGGCCTAGTGCAGGAGCTCAGTCCAAATCAATGGCTTCCCATAACTTTTATGTAACAATATGCACACATATATACACATACACACACACCTATGTATATTTCATTCAAAATGTAACCACTTCTGACTTCCTGTACTGTTATCTCCAGTCCAAGATTACTGCATTAGCCGTTTGCCTCAATTCCATTCTAGCACCCCTGTAATCTTCACCTATAGCCAGAGTAATTTTTAAAACAGAAGGCAGGTCATATCTTTCTTTGACTCATAACCAGTATATTAGCAACTTCCCACATCAATCAGAATAAAATCCTGAGAGAAGACATATATCCCTGACAGCCTATGTAAAATAGCCTCACCACCCACACCTGTCAACTATCCTTTTACCCTACTTTATTTTTCTCTATAGCTCTTATCACAAACTGACATAACACTTACTTGATTATTTACTTATAGTTGGTCTCTCCACTGCTGCTATGTAAACTACATGAGAACAGGGACTTTATCTTTCTGCTTTACATCCCTAACATTTATAAGAGTGCCTGGTTCAAAGTAGGCAATGGATGGATAGATGGATGGATGGATGGATGGATGGATGGATGGATGGATAAGATTGTCACTAAAACACATAGGAAATAGATTATGTATTACTAGCCTTCTTTTATAGATTAGGAAACTAAGAGAATGAAATTATATTAGGAAACAAAAAAAAATGAAATTACTTACTCAGTGTTATTCATGAGTACAGTCCAGGTCTTCTGTTTCTCTCTCTCTCCCTCCCTCCTCCTCCTGACCTTTTTGAATACATGATAGTAAAGAACCTATTGTTTTCCTTGTCAAAATGTATGTATTTGGGACCTAGAACTAGTTTCTTCATCACTTTGCATAAGAAACTTTTTCAAACAAAATAAGACCATTTTGTTAGGTCCTGCCTGCACTACAACAATCCACAACTTCTCAGGCCTTGAAGATGAATTTTTTTGTAAGTGAATATGTCCAGAAATTGAGATTGTTTCAGTCAGAAGTCTTACCTCCTTATTCTCAGAATGAATTGTAGAGCCCCCAGAGCAGACAAGGGTGTTTAAGGTTAATTGCTGTTTCTATATAGATATCAATTACCTTTTTAAAGGACTACCCAGTGGGATTTGCCACTTTGCAGTTTGTAAAAAATCTAGCTAATTGTACAAATGTGCGTGTGCAGGGATGGGGGAAGGTCCAATTTGGTAGTCAACCTAGTTGACCCTTTAGTTTTGGTTTAAAAAAAATTTTAGGCACTTTCAGTTACCAAGACTACACAGTTTTGAGGTCCAATTTGGTAGTCAACCTAGTTGACCCTTTAGTTTTGGTTTAAAAAAAATTTTAGGCCCTTTCAGTTACCAAGACTACACAGTTTTGTTTGGTTGGTTTTTAATTTAAAAAATGAAAAACTTAGTGATATGTGCTCAACTGCTCACATTAGTATCTTTCAGTTCCTCCCTCTCAGAAAACAATAAACATAACATCAAGCCATAACTTTAAAAGTGATTAAATTGTAAAATCAAACCCAAAATTCATTGAGTGTAGCAAGGCTGATGTCAGAAGATCATTCGTTCTTCAAGTAGTTAAACCTTTTAACAAGACAGAAAATGATGGTTAAAGGGAACGATGGTTTTTACTTCTAAGCAAGTGAAAAATAACCGTTAATGTCAGCGAAGAAAGTAATGCCAAAATATGAAGCTCAGTCTTACAGATCAGCAGGGAAAAGGATGTGGTAATGAGGATATGTGGGTGACTCCAGTGTGGGAACTCTGGCTTCATCTTGACCACATGGCTTAGAAGCTGTGTAACCTAGGGCAAGGTACTTAACCTCTCTGAATCTTGCCTTCCTGGGGATGTAAAATGAGGATGGTAGAAACACCTATCTTAGCAGAGCTTTTGTGAAGAGTAAATGAGGTCATAGTTATAAAAATGTTTTGTAGCTGTGATAATGTATAGGATTATTACTGTACTTAAATAATCCATTGAATACCCTTCCTGCCTTCTCTCTACCTCCTAACGCCACTTCTCTAAGGCTTAGCTAATGTTGCCCCCATCTGTGAGGTCTGTTTATCTCTACTGTTTTAGATTAGGATATTTTTCACTAATTAAGTGAGAATTTGTTATATGTTCTATATCTGAACTGGCCTGTCTAAGCTTTCAGCAAAGAACTATGGCCTCTGAAACCCAAATTATTAATTCACATATATGAATAAGAGCACCCTGAGACCTTTAAGGTAGGGAATTGGATATAGAAATTAAAGAGTGGGGGAAATCTCTTCTCCACCCCAGGATAGAACATTGTCCAGTTTTCCTAAGTATTTTCCTGTCTGTGATAGAAAAAGTTACTATTTAATGAACACGTTATATGCCAAACACTGTGTTATGTATTATTTCATATAATCCTCACAATGTACTAATGTGTTCTGTACTATTATTGCCACTTATTGATAAGAGAACTATAATCAGAGTAATTAAGTAGCTTGACTAGTGTCACATACCTAGAAAGGGCAGAGTCAGGAAATTTGAACCCAATTCCTTTTCTAGGCTTTTCCCATCTGTTGATTGATTATATGCCTCCTACATTTCAACTCATTTTACATGTGCGTGTTTGCCTTTCTATCCCTTAATAGTTTTGTCCTTGGTGTGCCTATCACAAAGGGGATAGGAGGTAGGGTGGTGGCCCATAACAAAGACAACTAAGGTATCATCCCTCTGCTTAAGGAACTATTATAATCCACTGGCAGAACAACAACAGGCAAACAAATCACTATATGACATAGAAGAATTTAAGACATCTCAACAGACGGACCATCAGTCTCCTCACCTGTAACGTGGAAATAATACTCTGCACTATAAGACTTTTATGATTAAGTGAAATGCTGTGTCAAGTATTTAGCAAAGACCCTGACTCAGTATATGGACTCTATGTTACCAGACAGTCTAAAGACAGTAACTAGGATATCAAGCTAGAAAAGCAACTTGGAGCCAGACTTTGAGAGACTTGAAAGCCAGTCCCAAGAGTTTAGACCTTCATCTTGATGAAAACAACTTTGCCAACATTAGCAATCATTCTGAAAAGAAATTAGAGCTGATGCTATTTTACATAACCTTTCAAAATTTATTGCAAATGAGATGGAGTTGGTGGAAGCAGTTGGAACTAGCTTAAAGGAGTTTTGTATTTGATGTACTAAAAGGAAAAATGATATTTTCAAGTTTGATGCCCTCTGTTTTTTCTTCCACAGTAATTAGTGAATGCCAAAGGCAGCAACTGGAGTCTGTGAGCTACTCCTCTCGCTATGCTTTGGGCCTCTTTTATGAAGCTGGCACGAAGATTGATGTCCCTTGGGCTGGGCAGTACATCACCAGTAATCCCTGCATACGCTTCGTCTCCATTGATAATAAGAAGCGCAATATAGGTCAGTACCCCCATTATTTCCCTTAAATACAGTAACAATGGTGGGTGTAGATCATGAAAAATGCTGTTTAATTGAGTGTTGCCATTCTGAACAGAGCAAGCATTTAACTCCAAGCCACGGGGGATAAAATTTAATGTCACATTTGGCCAGTAATAAAATACACAGTGAAACCAGCAAAGTTTTCAGAAAATCATTTGCCACATGGTTTGTATTACTGAGTTCATAAAAATAGTGTCAGAAGGTTTAAGATTTCAAAATGGCCCAAGTTCTATTACTTTAATATGTAGCCATCTATATGCAAATGTATCTCTCATCATTTGTTTCTTGGTGGAGTTTGTTTTTGTTTGTTTGGTTTTGTCTTTTTTAGATTTGATGAGTGCTACTCTTCCACTTTGCTGGCTAGAAATAAAAGATGAATTTTACTATGTTATGAAAATTCTTCACTTCAATAAAATTTTGTTGTTTATTTACATTTCATCTGGGAAAATACAGTAAAATTACTTTGTATACAATGGAACTAAAATAATAGGAAAAATGTCTCAGAAGAGCTTTACTAGAATGTGATTTACTACACTCCTTCTCTGTTGAAGATAGTTACAAAAATTAAATTTGAATTGCAAAAAAAATGACTTGATTCACTTCAGGTGAAATGGTGAAAATGTATTCTTATTTGTAGGATTGTGTTGATCCCTGAGATACTGCTTTTCGGGAAATAAACTAATGATCTAAAAAATGATTAAACTCTTGAAAGGAATCATCATTTCAATTTTTTTTTTTTTTTTTTTTTTTTTTTTTTTTTTTTTTTTTTTTTTTTTTTTTTT